TATAGAATTACTGCTGCTCACACTTACTGGGAAGTGACTCTCTTAAGAGATCAGTTCAGAGTATTCTCAAGTACCTAGAGTGCAATTTTGTTCCTTCTTTATTAAAAATGATACGGTTCTCTTGTGGGTCCCTTGGGTAACGTCTCAATATAGATTTAATTATTCCTCATTCTTATCAAGACTACAGTGTGATATTAATAGCAATAGGCAAACTCCCCCCTGGCCTGATTCAGAATAGACTCAACGAAGTAAAATGATGCATTTCCAAAATTGCTGGATAAAATTGTAGAAAATAAAATCCTTTCACTTGATTTTATTCCAGATTTGATCCAACAACTGGAAAGTGGCTAACGTTCATTAATCATCCACAGGATATTTCTTGGCTACTACTACAATACACTTTTTGTCAGCCTCACTCACATGAGGATTGTTGGTAGCAGAAAGCAGGGTTTGTGTATGCGTACACACACACACACAAACATACTGTAAGCTGCCTAAAGTCATGACAATAGGCAGCATACAATGGCAGGATGCACATACACACAAACAAACAAACATTTCCTGGGATGAGCACTAAGACAATTTAAAGAGTGCCAGACAGGGAAAATCAAATGCATTTATTGACCCATTTCTCATTCAATCTGATGAAACAAAATTGGCTCTAGAAATTCTTTCAAAGGATGATAGAGTGTGTGATGTTTCAACTTGCTTAGTCATAAAGTGGCCATAAGGGGAACATGTGAGAATGTTCTGTCTCTCACTGTATAGCTATTTTCCTCCAAATTTGCACAGTCTGCTTGATTTCTTGCCTTTAATTAAATTCCAAGGAACAGCATCATAATAGGGGTTCCTCAATTGCATGGTATGCTCACCTTAAACACACACATACACACGCATATATAAAATTCTCCCAGTTATCAATGCTACTTGTCCACAAAAGTCTCTTTTAAACCATTTCAAGTTTCTTTCAGTTTTCAAACTCGGTATTTCAGAGGAAATACCGAATCTGGTAGCTAGGAAGGATGGAAATGGTAGGCTCTTCAGAAGACAGTTGCCTGTTCGCTTTTTATAACTGCAATGGAAACCAGTCTGGAAACTCTTCAGGATGGCAATAGTCCCAGCATACCAATTTTTTAAAAAAATTTTGATTTATATGCCGCCCTTCTCCGGAGACTCAGGGAGGCTTACAATGCGTTAAGCAATAGCCTTCATACTTTTGTATATTTATACAAAGTCAGCTTATTTCCCCCACATACTGGGTCCTCATTTAACCTACCTTAGAAAGGATGGAAGGCTGAGTCAACCTTGAGCCTGGTAAGATTCGAACCTGCAGTAATTGCAGGCAGCTGTGTTAATAACAGGGTGCTTTAAACCACTGTACTACCAAGGCTCCTTGGTAGTACAATAATTGTCTGGTAATTTAGAGTTATCTAAATAGCAAAGAATGATTTTGCATTACAGAGGCATTTTCAACTGCTTCTGTGCACATCGCAGGTTTTGGAATCTACATATTTGTTGTAGCCTATAGGAATGGATTCAAATGATTATCACTAAGTGTTGTATCTTATGTGTCTTGACGAATGTATCTTTTCTTTTATGTACACCGAGAGCATATACACCAAAGACAAATTCCTTGTGTGTCCAATCTCACTTGGCCAATAAAGAATTCTATTCTATTCTCATAAAAAAAATCAGAAAAAGAAGAAAATGACCCTGTTTATAAAATTCTTCTTCTTCTTCTTCTTCTTCTTCTTCTTCTTCTTCTTCTTCTTCTCCTCCTCCTCCTCCTCCTCCTCCTCCTCCTCCTCCTCCTCCTCCTCCTCCTCCTCCTCCTCCTCCTCCTCCTGGTCAGGGTCCGCTTTATTTATAAAATAAATAACATGTTTAATTCAAGTATGTCATATGCTCATGAATTGGTCTGCACAAAAATGACACCCAACTGGGCCTGGAATTGGATAAGCAGACAAAGACTTAACATTTGCTAGGAGCAGGAGGAACATGCAAAAGACATAAAAATGTGTTTGTAGACTAAAGTTCAAATTACTACACCAAAGTCAGTGGGCAGAAGCCACCCATGGAAAGAGGGCAGAGAGAAGGCAGTGTGAGACTCCCAAATGGCACAATTTTGATTTGTCATCCTATAATCTGGTAGGCTGCTAAAAATGCAGGGCAATGATGCATAAATGGCTAATTGAACAAGAAACAGATTAATGATGCAGACACAGTATCTATGTTGTGTTGGCACAGAAATCTGTTTTCTGTTAGGGCATCTATCAACAGAAATGTTCCAAATTTTGAGATACTTCTCTCAGAGCAACTTAAAGTCCATAAGGTCATGCAGACATCTGAAGTGAATCCGTCTGATTACTTTGAAGGGAATATTGTTTTACCTCAAAGGGCCTCAGAATCTTTCCAGAAAAGCTCTAGTACAGGGGTCACTACCCTTGGCAACTTGTGGACTTCAACTCCCAGAATTCAACAACCAGAATTCAACAACCAGCAAAGCTAGCTAACTAGCTAGATATAGATATAGATATAGATATAGATATAGATATAGATATAGATATAGATATAGATATAGATATAGATATAGATATAGATATAGATATAGATATAGATATAGGTCTAGGTCTAGGTCTAGGTCTAGGTCTAGGTCTAGGTCTAGGTCTAGGTATATATCTATATATCTATATATCTATATCTATATCTATATCTATATCTATATCTATCTATCTATCTATCTATCTATCTATCTATCTATCTATCTATCTATCTATCATCTATCTATCATCTATCTATGTAAAAGCTGATCTCAGGTGTATCCAGGAGAGACAGAAATGATTTATTTCAGATAAATGTTTGTGGACAAAAACAAAACAAAACAAAATCAAATAACACCCAGCTCTTCATAACAATGTCATTTCCTAGATGCAACAATGAATATCCTACAAAAATTGGTAGCACAGCCAAAAAGTTATCCACTCTACCATAAAGCTTACTGAGTTTTGTACAGTAATGATGTCCTTTAGGATTTCAAATCAATATCAAGTTTCCTGAATGACAAGAATGTTTTTGGATGTCTCGTATTTAGGAACATTGAATTAATTATCCCCTGACTTCTAGAGTTATTTTTCCCCTTTCTCTCCCTACGCAATCCCTCCTGCTGTCCTGTGTTTATGCCCTAACTAAGAAGTTGCAACTTCTCTACCCAACATGGCTATGCATACACAAACACACTTTAGCAATCGGCCAAAGAAAATCAAATAGCAGTAGTTGAACACAAAACCTTAATTTGCAGTTATGTCAAATTAGGGAACACTAAGATCCTTTCCCTAGTGAAATTTCAACACTTTCCCAAGCCTGCTGCCCATTTTTCAACCAGCAGTACAAAAATTACTAGAGTTTTAGCTGAAAGGCAACACCGAGATCCAGATTGATACCTATCAGAAGTTACTCAATTTAACAGAAACCAATTATCTGGATTACTCTTTCTCAGGATCATAGGAGCTCTGCAAAAGATGTGATGTAATTATTATACCGGACTTGTTCAATGCTCTTTTCTAACTCTGCGGTGTTAAGCTTGCCAATCTCCCAGTGATTTTAATGATAAAGTAGAGAAAATCTTGCAACTTCTGCAAATTGCAATCAATTGAAAGCTGGAGGAGGTAGTTTTAATCTTCTTTGGTAAGAACTCTAACCATTTCACATCCTCTAACAATCTGGTAGCATAGCATGTGGCCTAGATGGACAGAACAGCTGCCTGAAGAATTAGCACAGATATTTAAGTCTGAGAAGGGGAGGGGCACCAAAGAGCACAGACTAACAGATCAACAGATTTGGAAGGGAACTTGTAGGCCATCTAGTCCAACCCCCTGCCCAAGCAGGAGACCCTACACCATTTCTGACAAATGGCAGTCCAATCTCTTATTGAAAGACTCCAGTGTTGAAGCTTCCACAACTTCTGAAGGCAAACTGTTCCATTAGTTGATTGTTCTCACTGTCAGAAAAAAATCTCCTTATTTCCAGGTTGAATCTCTCCTTGATCAGTTTCCATCCATCATTCCTTGTCTAGCCTTCAGGTGCTTTGGAAAATAGCTTGACCCTCCTCCTCTCTGTGGCAGCCCCTCAAATATTGGAAGAATGCTAGTATGTCTCCCCTGGTCCTTCTCTTCTCTTCACTAGACTAGCCATGCCCAGTTCCTGTAACCGTTCTTCCTATGTTTTAGTCTCCAGTCCCCTAATCCATCTTGGTTGCTCTTCTCTGCACTCTTTCTAGAGTCTCAACATGTTTTTTTATAATATGGTGACCAAAACTGGATGCAGTATTCTAGGTGTGGTCTTACTAAGGCTTTATAGAGTGGTATTAGTACCAGTGGTGGGTTCCTCCTGGTTCGGTCCGGTTCGGCCGAGCCGGTAGCGGTGACGATATGACGTCACCAAACCGGTTCTCCCCCCCGCCCTCCACCCCCACCCACGTTATTCTTACCTTTTATTTGGTCCCATCCCCAATCTATTGCTGCCTCCTGAGTCCCAGCTGATGACTAGAGGGAAAAAAACTGTTTAAACTCTTGCCGCGGGGCTTCAAAGGGCCGTCCTACAGCTGATCAGTGTTAAAAGCAAACAAATGAGTCGGGTCGTAAGTGGGAGGACTGGTCGTAAGTGCAAGGCCCTTCCAGAAATGACTCTGACCAGCTAGCCACGCCCACCTAGTCACATGACCTCCAAGCCACACCCACAAAATAAGCCACGCCCACAGAACCGGTAGTAAAAAAATTTAGAACCCACCCCGATTAGTACCTCACTTGATCTTGATTGTATCCCTCTGTTAATGCTACTTAGGATTGCATTGGCTTTTTTGGCTGCTGCTGCACACTCCTGGCTCACATTTAACTGATTGTCCACTAAGACTCCGACAGGTCATAATATTGTTGATTATTGAATGAATTAGTCACATTGGAACAGTTTACCCAACCTTCTCCTTCTGCTTGTTCTTCTTTCAGCCCAACAGGATCAAACGCTCATCCACAGCAACCAGGCAGAGAGCAACACAGCTACTACTGGGCAAACCCTGGGAAACCAACAGCAGCAGCAAGAGCCCAACGACCAAGGTCAGTAGTAATTGTAATTATTATAGTTCCCTGCACTATCACTGCCAATCCCGTTTATTAAAACCCAGAACTAAAGGAGATTCCCTCACACCACGGAGTGTGGTTGAATCATCAGAGCGTTTTTTTTCTTGTATTCAGAAAGGTGAGGGGGCAGAAGAGAATATTTATAGAGAATAGGCTTATAGGAGAGCTACTGAACCGAAATGAGCAAAAAAATCATTTTCAGGCATAATCTGACAATGACCTCATAAGAAAACAACTAAAGCAATGCTGAGTCAAGGGCTCCAACGGCATGAATTCAACGGTTATAGAAGTCGGATATTGTTAGCTGCTGCTATATTCTGTGATCCAGAGAAAACTATAGATAGACCATCAGACTTTTGCTATTTTATAAGCCAAGACACCAGCTGTGACCCCTTCGGATTCTTCTTGCAAAAACAGATGAATGGGAAATATTTTCTGCCTACCCCTACCCCTTTTGTTCTGGAAATACTTTATTTCAAGGTGTGCCACCTTGTTGCCTTTGGATTGACACGTATCTGCAGACATCTTCCTTATACCTGATTCTTTTTTTCCCCCAAAAATTGTTTCAATTTTTTAAAAACCAAATAGGTTAGCTGGCATGCTGCAAAGCAAGTCACCCACCTCTGGCATCTTCCTTAATTTTTCAGCTCCCCTATAGAAGGTGTTATTATGCAATAATGGTAGTAGTTGGGTGCCATCATTGTTTCCTTGAGAGCAAATGCAATATAAAGGAAGGAAATGAGCTCTGTAGGTTGAATTAGGGGATGTTTCAAGGTAAAAGGATGCATTTCAGGATCCGTATTCTGAATGGCGTTAGCAACAACAGGGACTGAAAGCTACTTCCATGCCATGGAAATGCAAATGCTCCGTTGGATATCGGGCATCTCCCTTCTTGACCACATCACAAATGACACCATTCAACAGCATTTTGGTGTGGCACCAATTATAGAGAAAATGAGAGAAGACCGGCTCCATTGGTATGGACATGTCCTGAGAGCAGCACCTTCCACCGTTGCCAAGACTGCCTACCAACTAGAAGTCAATGGCCGGCGACCTCACGGGCTTCCAAAGCAGAGATGGCAAGACAACATCAACAAAGATATGCAAGCCGCGGGCCTGTGCCCTGGAGACACAGCTGACCATGCAAAGTGGCGCTCAATGATCCAAAAAGCGGACCCTGCACCTGCGGGAATACGCTAGGAAGAAGAAGAAGAAGATTCCCAATGCTGTTAGGAAGCCAACAAGTAATGATTGATGTCAACAAAAGGGGTGGAGATCAATTTTTGGGGAGGTAAAGGAGAGGTTTGTTCTTGGTGGTTGTTGTTTTTTGGGGTGAGATTACTGGAATTTTTGTGTGATTTTGTGAGAGTTCAGTTTCTAGTCACCAGGCTAGAAAGTGGAAGACTGTGAGTTCTAATCCCACCTTAGTAGGGGTGGTATTCACTTACCTTTGCTACCGGTTGGCAAATGTGAGCCCGCGCGCGCGATCGCTTCACTTGCATGCCCCACCTCCACGCATGCACAGAGCCTTCTGCACATGCACAGAGTGTCAAAAATGGGACATGATAGAACCAACTGAATACCACCACTTAGCCATTTAGGTATTTATCTAAGCGGCTTACAGACATTAAATAAAGCATAATATTAAATATTAAGACAATAAATAGAGATCATAAATTCAATCAAAATAGAATTAAACAGGATGGGGAGGGAGGGAGCAGCTGGGTGACTTTGGGCCAGTCCCTCTCTCAGCCCAACCCACCTGATGGGGTTTCTGTTACAAGGAAAATAGGAGGAGGATGGAAGGGTGTGTTGTGTATTGTTAGCCATCCCAACTTGGTTAGTTACAAAAGACCATCCAGCTCCCAACGACCATCAGGCCCTTACCACTTTGGGGGGGGGAGTCCTCTCCCCACACTTCTGGTATTGTGGAGGGACCTGCTGATCAGTGGTGGGTTGCCCCCGGTTCGGACTGGTAGTAAAACCGGTGGGAGGCTCCACCCACCACCCCAGATGTTGTCATCAGTGATCTGTGCATGCGCAGAAGGAAGGCGCGTGCCCAAGCAAAGGGATCGCGCATGCGCAATCCCGTTGCGAACTGGTACTAAAAGTAAGTAGAACTCACCTCTGCTGCTGATCTTCTCCCCGCTTCTTTCAGATGGGTGCTAAAATCTATTTGGCCGGTATATTCATTGCCTTGAGTTATTTGTAAAAATAATAAAGGCAGGATGCAAATAAGTAAGTTAGTAAATAAATAAACATATAAATAAAATGCTGAGAATGGAACAGGAGCCTCTGGGAGGCAAACTGCTCCCATTTCCATACTAAAATCTTTGGAAAAGGACAGAAAATGACGTTAGGGGAGTTAATTTCAGGCTGTTCTATCTATTTGCATTTAGGTGGATATTTTAAGAAAGAGGCTGGATAAGGCTTGATCCAAGATTGTATACAGTAGTGGCCAAAATTGTGGAAACCTTTTGGGAAAAGTGTATTTTCTAAAACTAGCTAATAACACAACTTTTTTTTTTCTGGAGTAGTACTATAAAATTATATATCAATGGAAAGATAATTTAATCAAGAATGTAATGCAATAACTTTTATGAAGGGTTTGCTATTACAATAGCAGTTACAGTATAAAGAAGAAAAGTGAAACATGTAGAAAACTGAGATATACAAAAATTGTCACCATAGAAAAAATGAGATATACCATGTCAGTTAATACTTAATTGGGTAAGCTTTAGCATGAATTATATCCTTACAGCGTCTTCCCATGGAGTGAACCAAGTCTTTTAGTTTTGCAGCTGTTATAATGTGAAACCAAGATGGAACGATTGCTTCTATTAACTGGGTTTTATTGCTTGGTCGCTTCTGACTAACAAGTTTCTTTAGTCGGCTCCACAGACTTTCAATTGGATTAAGGTCTGGCCTATTCCCAGGCCATTCCAGCAATGGAATATGATTATCTTGAATCTCAAAAAAAAAAAAAAAAAAAGTGGTGTTATTAGCCATCAAACCTCAAAAATACACTTTTCCCAAAAGGTTTCCACAATTTTGGCCACTACTCTACTTCAGATATTTTGGACAGGAAATGTTTATTGTTTTAATGTTTTACACTATATTTTATTTAATGTCTGTAAGCCACTTAGAGTTGCCTTGAATGAGATGGGAGGAATGCAAGTTTCATAAGCAATTAAAATAAATAAATAAATTCGTTCTCAGGGAAAATGAACTGTAGCGGCCATTGCTAAAGGAGCAATAGATTGCTGAAGTGTGATTTAATTTTTGCACTGCAAATTCCTCTTAACACAATGACAGTTCAATTCCTTCATAGGACCAGTCGCTTAGAGTATAATGCATTTATTGTAACAGTAAAACCAGAAATTGACTAGGTGGACAAAGACTCCACTTACGCTCATTAAATTTCTGTTAACTGTTCAATAGACTCTCCTGGAATTATAACTACCCTATAATGAATATGGCTCATTCAGCCATTATTGGTGACTGTTGCTTGTAGAAACTCAAGGTGCATGACAAAAAAAATAAAAATAAAAATGGAAAACTCACTTGAATGACCAAAGAAACTTTTCACCCTCTTTTCTGACAATAGGCTGTGGGTTCTATTTTGGTGAATCCATTTTTTTCCCCTTGCAGTCAATATCTTCTGCTTTTATTGCAATTTTTTTTTCTATTTCTCTCCCCTTCCCCACCCCCCCATTCAGCAGTTGCACAAAAAGTGAATGAACAGATTAGCAGCCAGGAGATGAAACTGACTTTGCTACAGAAGAAGGTTGACAACATTTCAGTCATCATGAGAGACGTGAGCCAGAAGCTTTCCTCTCTGGAAGGCAAAATCAATGAAGATAAGAGCCAAGATTTTCTAAAAGGTAAAAGAAAGAAATTAATGCAATCACTCACCTATTTAAAAGTGCCAAGAAAAGAGCAAGAAAAGGGGGGTCAGAGGGGAGGAAGAAACAACCAGCTCTTGCTGTTGCAATATTCCATATTCTGCAAAGAAGTCTATATTATTTAGTCCTTCCTTCCTTCCTTCCTTCCTTCCTTCCTTCCTTCCTTCCTTCCTTCCTTCCTTCCTTCCTTCTTTCCTTCCTTCCCTTCCTTCCTTCCCTTTCTTTCCTCCCTCCCTCCCTCCCTCCCCTGCTCCTCCTCCTCCCCCCTCCTCCCCCCTCCTCCTCCCCCCTCCTCCCCTCCTCCTCCCTCCTCCTCCCTCCCTCTTTCTTTCCTTCCTTCCTTCCTTCCTTCCTTCCTTCCTTCCTTCCTTTCTTTCCTTCTTTCTTTCTTTCCTTCTTTCCTTCCTTCCTCCTTCCCTCCCACCCCTGCTCCTCCTCCCTCTCCCTCCCTCCCTCCTTTCTTCCTTCCTTCCTTCCTTTCTTCCTTCCTTCCTTCCTTCCTTCCTCCCTCCTTCCCTCCCACCCCTGCTCCTCCTCTTCCCTCTCCCTTCCTCCCTTTTTCCTTCCTTCCTTCCTTCCTTCCTTCCTTCCTTCCTTCCTTCCTTCCTTCCTTTCTTTCTTTCATCACAGGATATGCTCCCAACCACCAATAGGGATACGATTCAGCCAACAACGCTCATAGTTTGCAACCGCATTCTACCCCTGCTATATGCAGGTTTTTATTGTGTTTTAAAATGCATGAAATACTGATATGACCAGAGGTTATACTGGCGCAAAAGAAATTAGTGTGGACAGGATACACAATGAAGATACTCTCTTCTCCTGATTTTCAGTATTACTTGCATATTTTTCAAGCCAGCAGCTCATTTTCCTGCTGGGCTGCTTTGAAAAGCTCTTCTTACAATATGAACAATCCAGCTGATGAGTCAGTGCATTGTATGAATGGAAGAATAAGGAAGGATGCTATTGCAAGCTGGCTTCATGTGATGCATGTTAGATAATGGATGCTTATTCTACTCATTCAATAGTATGGTTCTTGCTGGTCGCAGTGTTATCGCTATCAGTGATAACCCGTAAATGAAATTTCTGGAGTCATTGACATGAACCAATTAAAATGCATAAGATAACGCAAACATAGAATTTAAATTTAAAATTTCTGTTACGGTTGATATTGTGATACGAACTGGAAGAGTTTTGGATTGTTTGGTTACTCGGCTCTTCCACATGCCTCCTTTACGGTCTTCGAAGATTGAAATGTGCCAGCTTAGAAAGCATTGGCAAAGCAGAGATTGCCTACATAATGGTATAATGAAGGAATCAATGCTGGATTGTCTTCTTCATGATTGAGAGCTAAAGCTCTAGGTTGCTTTAGGATCATAAGGTCATAGAATCACAACCTAAATGCATTAAATCATTTTTCAATGTAATCATCTGGGATTTTTTTTTAAAAAAAATGGCTATAAATATAACAACACTGATGCTAGATAAACATTGTCAAGGAGAACATTCCATTTTGAGGATGCCATCACGGAGAAGAACCTCCTTCTGGTAGCCACTTAATGCCCTTCATTTGCATTTGGGACATCTTGAAATTGTACTTTTAAAGTCTTGAAAATATAACTTGAGAAGGCAGGGATCCAAGCAGGGATCTTCAAAAGTTAATATAAGTGCCAGAAAGAGATTTGGCCAGGAAAAAATGTACGAGGCCTATCCAATCCAGAACGTGACTAGTATCCTTTATTTTTATTGTTCATCATTTGCAAAATTTGCTGCTAAATTTCCATTTTTGCCTGAAATTATTGCCATTTCACTAGCAGCAGAGTTTGAATAAATGACATGCCTTTGAGCTCACAACAGCTATTAGAAGACATCATGATAAATTATAGTCCATTTCTGGCTTGCCTCTAGGATTGTTAAACTCTGAATGTTGCACTTAAACAATGTTGCTTTAGCCGTACTGATATTTACACCTTCTCTCTTATTCATCCCGTCCTCTCTCTACCCTCGGTGTATTTTATTGTTACATGGCACTCTTGACCTTTAGGTATATAGGTTCCATATCTCGTTGAATATTTCCCATTTCCTTTTTGCTTCCTTTTCATCCATTTCTCTAATCCCTTCGGGTTAATATGTGCATGTTTGGTTATAATGTGCCATTAGAGAAGTCATGTGCAGTATTTCTCCACATCCTTTCCACATTTTTTTCGTGCACATTAACCCATAATAAAGTTGCAATCATCACAAGGATCATGCAAAATTCAGTATGTTAGGCCCTAAGTAGAGACCTAGATACTACAATGCATTGTGTATCACATTGATACCTAGGCATTGAAATTAATGCCTAAATTTCACAATCTAGGATTCTATTCAATAAAGAACTCCTTTTTTGTGTTCTTTGTTTCCCAGTGAAATCCTTATTATGACCAAGCTTATTTTTCTTTTTCTTCCTAGTGTTACCAGTATATCTAGAATGTATAGCATGTCAGACTGCACTCTAATATACAATTACACATAGCATACACTCCCTATGAAATTTATTTTATTCTCCTGATGTTGTCTTTTCTACTGGAGATGTCCAGAAACAGTGAAACAGAACATTCAGCATTCTAACATAATTACTGATTCTTACTGAAATATATTAGTCCTACATTTAGCACAGAAAGACACTGCTTTCATTTATCCATGTTTTCCCCTTTTAATTGCAATCCACTTAAACAAAGTTCAAATCTGCAGATTCTGATCAAAGGTCACTGCATAGTACATTGTTGTTGCAAACAAAAACAAGAGTCATTATCTCTGAATTGTCAGAATTATGACAACTGTTACAGGAAGAACTTTGCTATAAATTGTTAACCTCTAAATGTGGAGGATATTGTGACAGAGATACTGTTAATCGTCCTCATAATACTCAATCTTTAGTAAAGGTAAAGGTTCCCCTCACACATATGTGCTAGTTATACCCGACTCTAGAGAGTGGTGCTCATCTCTGTTTCAAAGTCGAAGAGACAGCGCTGTCCAAAGACGTCTCCATGGTCATGTGGCCGGCATGACTAAATGCCAAAGGTGCATGGAACGCTGTTACCTTCCCACCAAAGGTGGTCCCTATTTTTATACTTGCATTTTTTACTTGCTTTCGAACTGCTAAGTTGGCAGAAGCTGGGACAAGTAACAGGAGCTCACTCCGTTACGCAGCACTAGGGATTCGAACCGCTGAACTGCTGACCTTTTGATTGACAAGCTCAGTGTCTTAGACACTGAGCCACCATGTCCCGTGGAAACATTACTTACATAAAAACTCCTAACAATACTGCCCTTATAAGTAAATGCCCAATGGCACCAGTCTTACAAGGATATATCCTAACAACTTTCCACATATCATACTATCTCAGACATTGCCATTGCAATGTAATAATGCTTGTCTCCTGTCTTCTAAGACTTATATTTATTTTGAATGTCGGTCCACTACTTAATAAAAGGATTAGAAATCATGTGAGTCCAGCCAGAGTGAATTGATGAAGGTTCGGTGAGGTTTATCAGTGGCTGAAACGTTCTGAAGAGTTTCTTGTTCCCTTTGCTCCAGGGACAATCTATTCTGCAGGATTCCTACATTTTTCTTTTTAAGTCCAAGGATGTCTGTAACTCTTCCCTGTTTAAAGGACCCTTCTATCCGTATACAGTATATGAGCTGTATTTACAAAATTGGGCCATTAGAAGGGAAGAGCTGCTTTTCAAAACTGAATTTTCTTACCAGGTTATGTCAGTTTTGTCCAGGAGGCAAAGCTTGAATGCACTCTTAATCTGCCAAAGTTTCTCTTTTATTTTGTTGTTGTTGTTAGTTGCGCAGTCGTGTCCGACCCATTGCGACTCCATGGACTATGTTCCTCCAGGCCTTCCTGTCTTCTACCATCCCCCGGAGACCATTTAAGCTCACACTGACTGCTTCAGTGACTCCATCCAGCCACTTCATTCTCTGTCGTCCCCTTCTTCTTTTGCCCTCAATCGTTCCCAGCATTAGGCTCTTCTCCAGTGAGTCCTTCCTTCTCATTAGGTGGCCAAAATATTTGAGTTTCATCTTCAGGATCTGACCTTCTAAAGAGCGGTCAGGGTTGATCTCCTCTAGGACTGACGGGTTTGATCGCCTTGCAGTCCAAGGGACTCGCAGGAGTCTTCTCCAGCACCAGAGTTCAAAGGCCTCCATTCTTGGGTGCTCAGCTTTTCTTATGGTCCAACTTTCACAGCCATACATTGCAACTGGGAAAACCATAGTCTTGACTCTACACACTTTTGTTGGCAGGGTGATGTCTCTGCTTTTTTTAGTAAGCTGTCTAGTATATGTCTTTGATTTATATTAGTTATTTATGAATTGGATTGCCCCTACCACCAATGTTCCTATATGAAAGTGTTGCAATCTTTCCATGATCCATTCCCCTTGCCTTTGAACTGCTTCCTATATGGATTCCGAGAGTAGTTGTTCTTCAGAATAAACAGTTAATATTTCTTCAAAATTGCTCTACAATGTAGCAGCATCTTTGTCCATCAAAAAAAGTCTTATTTCCCAACCTGACCACTCTTTCTACTGAACTCTCCTATCCTCTAATGCAGTGTTTCTCAACCTTGGAAGCTTGAAGATGGGTGGACTTCAACTCCCAGAATCCCCCAGCCAGCACTGCTGGCTGGGGGTTCTGGGAGCTGAAGTCCACCCATCTTCAAGCTACCAAGGTTGAGAAACACTGCCCTAATGTAAAGCTATTTTTAGGGTCCTTCTCTCTCCATCTTCTTCCTGTGACTCGGTGATGCTTTTGTAGTTTTCAAATAAGGTCTTAGTCTGTTACTCTGGCATTGTGGCATAATCAATCTTGGGAACAATCAAGAGAAAGAGACCCAGGAAATGCAAATCAATAGGTGAGAAAGTTTTCATTACCATTATTGATTACCTGGATGCCAAGAATTTGAATGGAACGATGACCATAAAACTATGC